AAAATAACATTGAATTTAATTCACATATGCATATGTGAATTCACTCCTAACATGTGACTTCCCAAATACACATACAAAATAAATCTAAGAAATCACGTTGATGGTGCATTCACATATGCACTTACGAATTCTAAATATATTTTGAGTTTTTCACCAAGACACCTAAAAGAAATTCTCACTAGATAAGAAAAGAAATTCCCTTAATATTTCTTCAATGGAAACACATAGTGTTTCTTCAAGTAAATTTTAATTGCGTGTTTTTATGTAAATTTTGAGGAATGTTTTATAATTTAGTATTAAGTAAATTTGACTAATAGGGAATTAGAAACTTTCAAATTAAATATTATTTCAAAGTTTATACCTATAAAAATTGACTGAACTTGACAAAAACAACGAGGAATATATGAAACTAGATATAGTGGTGTTTACTTACATAAAATTATTCATATGCATATGAACTCAACTTTCCCTTTTTTTTTACAAAATATTTGATTATTTTGGAGGAATCCATATCGCTGTTTTGGCTACTTATGTTTGTTAAAGATTTCCCGAGGCCAATTTAGAATCTCATGATAATTTTTATTTTTTTGAACTTTTGAATCCTAATCGTAGTTTAAGTTAGTGATTTTTCTCTAAGGAATTTAAATAGAATCTAGATGTAGGGATGTCAATGGGGCGGGGCGGGGCCGGGGGGACACTTCCCCATCTTTTTCCCCGCCATCAAATTCATTCCCCGTCCCCGTCCCCGATCTCCGTCACGGGGGAATTTCTATCCCCATCCCCGTTCCCCGCGGATCCCCGTTCCCCGCGGGGATCCCCATAGATCCTACATTTATTCATTAATATTTTATTTTTTTAAAATGTTTATATTTTCTATAAAAATAAAAAGCACAAAGAATTCACATATTTATTATGTTATTAAAAAATACTAGTATTTGACATTTATTATTTTTTATTAAAAATACTAATGGAATACAAAATAATAATATTTTTTTTATAAATTTCTATAAAATGCTATAAAATTCAACAAAATGAACTATAATACTTTTTAAAGTAACAATATGCCTAAACAACTAAAAAAATCCAACAACATAATTATGCTTAAAAAACTATACTTCATCAAAAGTGAGACTCTAAATGTCTGGCAGAAGAAAATGAAACGCTTCAACTTTTTTAGGGTCTAATATTTACATTTCTCTCTCTTAATAAATACATGAATATTTATTTATTTATTTTTATAAATAAACATAAAGAAAATGACTAAAAAACCTAATCTAAAATATATATATTAAATTAACTATATTAAAATAATAGGCGGGGCGGGGTCCCCGCAGGGCGGGGTCCCCGCAGGGCGGGGGGTGTATTCCCCGTCCCCGTCCCCGAAATGCTCTCGGAGGAATTTTTCTCCCCATCCCCGCCCCCACGGGGGAAAATTCCCCATCTTTGGGGCCCCGAACGGAGCGTTCCCCGCGGGGATCCCCATTAACAGGTCCAAACTGACATCCCTATCTAGATGTGATGGGTTCATAATATAGTAGAAATTCTTTAAATTAATAATGTCGAAAAAATTATTAATTTAAAGAGTTGTTAATTTATCGATAAATTAATAATTATTAATTTAAAGAGTTTTTAAATAATTATATTGTACATATTAAATAAAAAGGTAAATTAGTCTATGCTTCTTAGAATTACGTTGCAGCGAACCTTGAGACTCAATGTAAATTAATAACTACTCTGTTCATATGTATTGAAAATCAATAATGCCTTTTGAAGTACAGTAAATGTAAATAAGATGAACAAATGTGTTCAATGTATTCTTAAGTAAGTTTGACATATATAAATTACATGAATGTGTTAGAGTATTTAAACCATATCTCACAAGATGGCTTCTCGTCTAAAAGGTGTTGCAAAATCAACTATGTCAGATCAAATACGTAACGAGTTGTGTGAGTACAAGAGAGATAACCCTGCAAGCACACAAAAAGACTTGCAAAGATGGCTTGAGGGAAAATTTCAGTTGAAAGTTAGTCAAGGAATAATATCAAACACACTTAAGCGGTCAGATGACTATCTCTCTGCTGAAATAGAAAAGGGAAAAGCAGAGATCAAAAGACGCAAACCAGCAAAATATCCTGACATGGAGAAGGTTGTTTATGGGTGGTTTCTCCAGCATCAAGAACGTGTGAATATCACAGGAGAATTAATTTTGTAGAAGGCAAGAGATACAATGAAACTCGTGTACCCTCGTGATGATTCATATTTTAACTTCTCTATATGATGGTTTGGGAAATTCAAGCACCGACATGGCATAACGTCATTTCGTCGTTTTAGCGAGAGCGGGTATGTTGATGTACAAGACATGGAGCAGAAATTGGTATCATTAGGGAGAAAATTGACCAGTTCCCTATGAAAGATGTTTTCAATATGGATGAAATTGGGTTATTTTATAGGCTACAAACTGATCATTCACTGGCAACAAAATAACTTGAAGAAAGAAACCAAGATAAAGAAAGGTTGGCGGTATTTATTTATTGTAATGAAGATGGCTCTGAAAAAATCCCTCTATAGATTATTGGGAAATATGCAAAGCCTCGTTGCTTCAAGAATGTCAACATGAATAGCTTGGATTGTCAGTATCGAGCTAACGAAAAAGCATGGATGACTAGTGTGCTTTTTGATGAATATGTTCATTCATTTGACCAAATGATGTATGGTATAAGAGTTCTACTTGTGGTGGATAATTGTCCAGCACATCCAAGAAATATTGAAGGGCTAAGAAACATTGAGTTGTTTTTCTTGCCACCCAACATGTCATCAAAGATTCGACCTTGCGATGCTGGGATAATAAGAGCTTTCAAGATGCGTTACCGTAGAAGGTTTTACCGCAAAATATTGGAAGGTTATGAGGTGGGATAATCTGATCCAGGGAAGATAAATGTCCTTGATGCTATCAATTTGGCAATCCCATCTTGGACAATAGATGTTCGAAAAGAAACAATAGCGAATTGCTTTTGAAACTGTAAAATTCGATCAGCTAGTAATGTTGCAAGAAATTTGGATGAATCCACTTTTGATGAAGAAACTCAAGACCTTGGAGTATGATCAATCAATATGGCTATCGTAATAAGATGAATATCGACAATCTAATGAACTATCCAGGTGAAAATGGAGCATGTTCGGAGGTTCAGAGTTTACAAGATATCGTGGGTACTATCATTGAGAATAATGCAGAGGATAACATCGAAGATGATACGGTGTCTTTGGAGCCTGTTACGCAAAAGGAAGCACTTATAGCGTCAAATACTCTTTACAACTTTATGATACAATACAAAAATATAACACCTGAGTTATTGGATGCAATAAGAAAAGTTAGAGATGAGCTCCAAATAGACTTGAACTTTAAAGGAAAACAGACAACTATTGAATTATATTTCAATAGAGTGTAATGTATTTTTTTCAGTTTCTATAAATTATTAATTTAAGATTTTCTTGGGACAAAAAATTATAAAGGGATCTTCTGAAAAATTATTATCTTATTATTTTATCGAGTTTTTCAATTTTTTACATTGGCCTAAGTTGGGACCGGACAAATTTATTATTTTAGAGAGTTTATTAATTTACCGAGTATTAATTTAAAGAATTTCTACTGTATCTCCCATGTTGGTTAGAGTGTCTTCTGGCTCTTACCCTCATCAATTTTAGAGGTCCAACTATACTAGAACTATGCTTTATGGGATTATTAATGAGTTCATGCATACTACTATAATAAGCATATCATATCTCGGACTCAAATGCATTTAATCTTGGCTAAGGAAGCAAGGTAACGAAGAGTGTCATAAAAAGTTTTCACTTTACCCTTAAGTTAATAAAAAATCAAAAAACCAAGTTATCTACACATGGGTTCGAATCCTAACATCTGTATTTTTATTATTTTCAAAACTAGCGCATGACACCTCTCGGTTTATCAATAAAACTGAGGGATAAGATAAAGTATTTTTTATTTAAAAAATTGTTACATTGTTTACCCGAAAAATTACATTGTTTACACAGAATAATAAAGTGAAAATTAATTTTTCAATGAAGATCATATATTGGATCTTCGAATAATTGAATTTTGAGGAAGATCAAATGCTGGGTGCCAATATATTATCTTCTTTTTTTTTGCTTGCATTTATTTCTGACATAAAACAAAAAAAATAGATAAATAAATGATTTTCTGCTCAAATAAATATCTAAGAACACCTTAAAGTGGTGGCACTACGCCAAAAAAGACTTACGAAAGCGCTTTTTTAGCCTTTAAAAGCGCTTTAAAGCGCTTTCGTAGGTGGCGCTGCTATAGGTTTTAGCAGCGCTTTTTGTTTAATGAAAAGCGCTCTCATAAGTTTTCTTTTAGCAGCGCTTTTTTCTGAAAAAGCATTGTCTTAGGTAGGCTTTTAGCAACGCTTTTTTCTGGAAAAGCGCTTTCGTAGGTGGTCTTTTAGCAGCGCTTTTGCCTGAAAAAGCGTTGTCATATGTTTATCTTAGACAACGCTTTTTGTGAAAAAGCGCTTTCATAGGTTACCTAAGGCAGCGTTTTTCTTAAAAAAGCGCTTTCATATGGTGTTTTTTTTAGAGGTATAATTTATATAATTTATATACCTGCATTGTTTGCAGCATATTATTTATATAAACCAGTTGCCATAACCTGTAATTCATAAACCGCAGTAATGCATTGTATACCATTGTAATCCAAAATATATATACACCATTTTTGTACCTCAAAATATATAAAAACCATTGTTATCAACATTGTAACTCAAAATCAGTCTTACAAAATCAACCCTAACAACAAGAAGATGTGGCTCAAACTAAATAGTACTCAATAATCTAAAGATAACTGATACACTTACAAAACCTTCCTCAAATATCCAAATCAAATATAACAATAATTAAGGACGTACAAGAGTTTCTGCAATAACTTTGAAAACAAAAAATAACAAAATTGTAATACTGCTTCCTTTCTAACTCTCAGTCTGCTCCCTCATCCTTCGGATGGTACTCCGAACAGTCACAGCACTGGCAGTACTGTCAAAATAATAAGCACAAAGAAAATCACAAGGTTAGCAACTATATACAAGCAATTAATCAATTGAGAAAACATGTTTTTTGAGCAAGATTATTACTTCAAAGTGTAAGCACCACCAGTCTTGACCTTCCCACAATCTTTGCAGCCCCAAATACCAACAGCCTTTCTCTTAACAACATACTACATACAACAAATTGAGAACATAATCAACCAATGCATATCGAAAAAACTCGTCACAAAACACCTTAAAAAAACTACCTTTCCACAAAACTCGCAGAAGAATTTACTGTGCTGACTGACTTCCATCTTCTTAATTTGCTTCCTCAAACTAGCACCATATCGGGTGCCTGAAATTAGAACACAAACCTATAAGTTATCACCATTTACGACACAAAAACCATAAACTCATCTTAGCTGAGAATTTCATTTAAATTAGAAGCAAATAAATCTAAGCTAAACCTAATTGAAATTAAAAAACCCACAAAGTTTTTAGGGTTAGAACAAACACATTTATAGTGAATTGAAATGAAATAAATATCTACAAAACAAACAAATCTGAAACCGAAAAGCACAACAAACAAGACAAAATGTTGAAAAGTAAGAAAATTGATAGAACGTACCGTATTTTCCAACAATACCGGCCTTCTTGGTTCTCTTAGTCTGTAACCAAAATCACAAACAATAATCACATAAGAATGAAATTAGAATAACAGTTTAAAATTCAACAAGCTGTGAAAACGAACGAACCATTTTGGAGCGGCTTCACGGGATGCTGTGAGAAAAGTAGACGAGCGGCTATACTGCAAATGGTTTCCAACAAGGGTTTCTGTTGAATAACTTATAATAATAATTCGGGTATGGGCTTAACTAATGGGCTTAGAAAAGTGATACGAATTGTGTTTTGATATTTATTATAAAACTACCTACGAAAGCGCTTTTAAAAGCGCTTTCTAAAAGTCATCTATAACATCGCTTTTACATCAAAAAGCGCTTTCGTAGCATATCGTATAGCAGCGCTTTTAAAAGCGCTTTCTAAAGGCCAGCTTTAGCAGCGCTTTGGAAAAGCGCTTTCTAAGGATGACCTTTAGCAGCGCTTTTGAAAAGTGCTTTCTTAAGGTACCCTCTGAAAGGCCAGCTTTAGCAGCACTTCCCAAAAAGCGCTTTCTAAGTGTGACTGTTGTACCCCAAAATTTGCCCTCTCATTTCATCAACATTTTCTCATCACAAGACTCTTGGAGCCCAAGATCAAGTTAGGGTTTGCTCTGCTCAAGACTCCTCTTTGCACTGTTGACCCAAATTAGGGTTTGAGTTTGCACAAAGATGTTTTGACCTAAAATTCCCAAAGTGACTTTCATGCTTCATGTTGGACTCACAAGTTTATCCATACCAAGTTTCAAGCCTTGATTCCAATCTTTGCCCAGTCAATTAGACAGTTGACCTAGAAATCAACTGTATTTGGGAAAAAGTCAACTATGGTCAATTGACAGTCAAACCTCATGATTTTTGACCCACATCAACATAATTAACTCATATGAACCATTTGGTCAAGTTTGGATCACAGTTCCACAGGAAATTTGATCAGATCACCAAAAGGGCAAAATGGTTATTTTTAGGGTTTTGACTGCACAAGGGCAATTTTTGACTGTTTGACCTAACCAATGGCAAACCAAGCTCATATATGGACTCAAGGACTCAATGGCATTGTCTTGACACATTCAACAAGTTCAAAAGATCTCAAATGTACAGGATTGACAGATGAATTTTCCAGTCAACTGATCAAAATTTGATTGTATACTGAAAAGTCAAACTTTGACTTTTTGGTCAAAATCAAGTGCCAAGATTCATTTTTCATCAAGACATGTCAAATTATGAAACTTGTTCATCAAGAAACCCAAAATTGCAAATTAGGGTTTAAAATGAAGAAATTTCATAACTTAGAAATTTTCTAAGTTATGAAATTCCCTTATTTTTCCCTAACTTTGTCCCATTTTTTCATCAAGATACAAATGGATTCAAAGAAAACTCAAAACATGAAAGTTGTAGTCCATTGCAAAATATACAACTTTGATTCACAAAGTTTTCTCAAAGGAAGCTTGTAGCTCAAGTTATGATTTTTGGAACAAGGGTGCAAAACATTTTTAACTTAGAAATTTTTTGACCTATTCAAGGCAGGATTTTTGTCCAACTTCTTGGCCATTTTTCACATGCTTCCACTTAGAGTTTCAATTTGCATTACAAATATGGATTTTAGTACACATTCCAAGCTTTCCAAATTGTCTAAGAACTTCTCAAACACCCTTGTGGTTAGGGAGATTCGAATTTGCAAAGTTGGGCAAAATTCACTTTTGTTCATAACCAAATGCATGTTCATACAAGTTTCATTTTCAAATTAGCATGCTTGGAACTTTTTTGCAGGCCTCTAAACCAAGTTTTCACTCTATAATTAAATGCCTAACCATTGTGTTCAAGCATTATTTTGTGTATTTGGTCATTACACATGAAATTATCCCTTAAATAGAAAAAGCACATTTGCCATTTTTGAAAAGTGGTGTTTTATGTCAAATTCAAAATCCAAGAAGTACAAGCCAAATCTTTGAGGCCAGATAGAGTCCACAAATTTTTGTTACCAAGGGCAAGATATGCAGCATGCTTGAGAGCTTGGCACAGGCCTATAACACAACTAACACTATCCTTGCTTACATTGGAAGAAACTTGGCAAACTCATACCAACTCTCACTTCCTGCAAGCACAGCCAAACACAAACCTTGTTCTCATCTTTCATACATCCAAGCAAGCCTAAAGCACGACCAAACCACCCCTCATCCCTCCTCATACAGAAAATCACAATTTTTCTGCAAAACAGGGCATCTGTTGCAGTTTGACTTCCACAATCCATTCCACTCGTGCACTTTGGCCAAAACCAGTTCAAATACATTCTATATCATCCGTTGGAACTATCCCAAGCCCTAGATACAAACTGTAACACCCCTAACATCACTTGCCATTTTCACTTTTCAGTTTTGCAGGTGAACTTCCATAACACGATTCAGAGAGTATCAAAGCAAGCTAGGTGTTGGAGAAGCATCCTTGGACTTCAGGAAAGCTGTACAAAAGCTCAAACTCCATTAAAGTTGGCCACATTGCTGTACACGACTCAAGCTGGAACAGGTAAAAACATGAACTTCTATCTCTCAATCTAGGAAGAGTTAGGCTTAGGTTTGTGAATGAAACATGCTCTACTCATAGCCCTGAAGCCATCCATGTATTTACTTTTCATTTATATTGAGTATGCTGTGAGAATTTTGGCCATGAACATTGAAGAAAAATTAGGTCAGAAATTGGGGATGAAGAAATTCTCTCTCGTTTCTTAGAGTTAGGTCAAGTATTTTATATGTCTGAATTCGTCTCTTGATGCTCTACATTATTGGTGTTATGAGTTTTGCATGAAAGTCCAGGAATCAGGAGTTAGGAAACGCGCGTTTTTGCTTGTTCAAACAAAGCTGGAGGTTGAATATGACTGGCTTGGGCTGGGCCTGAGTCAGTCCTGCTTTTTGCACCCCCTTTTCTAATTTACACCCCTTGGCCCATTGTGTGATATATTTATCATTTTTGATTTTTTCTTTTTGATTCTGACTTATTATTTTTTGCTCAAATATAAAAAAATATCAAAAATATTTTTCCACCCTTTTTTGCATTTATTTGGCATTTATTTGTCTTATTTAATATATGTATGTAAATAAATATAAAAACCTTTTTATTTAAAACCCTAAAAATAATACAAAAATAAATATTTTTCAGTTATTATTTTTTGTTTACATTTTGAAAACATTTTTTAAAATATACTTTTTTTTGTAAATAATTAATATTTCATTCTTGTATATATTTAGTATATTTAATATAATATAGGCAAAATTTTCATTTTGGTCCCTTAACTATACCCTTGGGGTCATTTTGGTCCCTTAACTTTCAAAATGTTTCATTTTAGTCCTTTTTGTCTAATTAGCGACAGATTTAGCGACATATTTCAAAGTTTTTCCGTCGCTAATTAGACAAAAAATGACTAAAATGAAACTTTTTGAAAGTTAAAGGACCAAAATGACACGAAAAAAAGTTAAGGGACCAATGTGAACCCAAGGGTATAGTTAAGGGACCAAAATGAGTATTTTGCCTATAATATATAAATACTTGTATATTTTATTAGATATTTAGGGCAAAAATATAGAAATAATACATTTTTATTTTTATTAATATATGACACTAAAAAATACTTTTTTACAATATACTTCTTTTTTTTATTTTTGTATAAATTAATATATAAATATTTTATATAATTAATAAATAAATACTATTTATTTTTAAAAAAAAAACTAGGGTTTTGCCCTAAACCATAAAATATTCAAAATTTGACCTTTTTATTTTTGTTTATATTTCACATTGAAAAACACTTTCACATACATAAAAAAACATTTTGTGCATAATACATTTTGCATATTTATTGTATTTATTCCAATATTGTACAATTAAATATTTGTATATTCAATATGGATGTAATAGCTTTAGATTTAATTTCTTGCCAAATATCCCCCCATTTAAACATTTGTATCCCCATCCCCATAATCATTGTTGTAATAATTTAGGACTTTAAATTTCCGCATTTAAAAGCTTTTAAATTATGCCATGATAGACCTAGGGTTTGTATGCAAATCAAATAACAAATAGCTTGGCTAATACAAAGACAAAAAAGTATGAAAATGGACAACACCATGCACACTTGCACCCTTAGGGTTACTCCACTTGTTGCCTTCAAAAATGGGCCATGTTGCATGTTGAGTGTCTTTGGCAAAACAAAAACAAATCAAATGATCATAGTCCCTCGATGACACTTTCTCAAGTTGCCTAAAAAATGATCAAGTCCCTTGAAGGAAAAATTGCTAAAGACACTTGGCACTATTGCATTCATGGTCTAAACGATGACCCGCGCCCGTCCCGTTAACATCCTAACACAAGATTGTCCACCAAATACAATGGTGGAACAATACTGTTAAAAGGGTTAAAACATAGGAATGATCTTTGAGAAATTTAGGATAGATAGCTCTTGGTTACTTGACCAACTTGCAAAACAAATCCTTGCCATTTTTCAAGACACACTCCACAACACAACCTTCAAAACAACTTTCAAAAAACATTGAAACATCTTTTCAAAAAGACAAACACCTTTGTAAAACATTCAAGTAAAGAATTGTTACAATGGTTGCCTAGACAAGGCATCTTTTTCAAAACATTTTCAAAACCACACACAAAGCACCATTTCAAACAATTGAAAATGCAAGGCAAGTGATCTAAGAAAGTAACTAAGAGCCCATGGATAACCATGGATAGAAAGGGTGCTAATACCTTCCCTTTCTATAATCTAATCCTCGAACCCAAGAAAACATCTCAAAGGTTTTTCCTGTGCTTTTTAACCTTTCCTTAGGATAAAATAAAAAGTCGGTGGCGACTCTTGCTAAACCGAAACATTTGCGAAAACAAACGCAAAACCTCAAGTCAGTTCTCCCACCGTATCACAGAACTGGCGACTCTGCTGGGGAGAAAATTAAAAGTGGAGTAACCTTAGGGCTTAGATCACCCTTTTGCATGACTAATTGTTTGCTTTGATTGCTTTACATTTTGGTTCTCTTGTTTGGGCTTGAAATCCTACACCCGGATTTGGGGAAACATTCATAGATAGTAATACATTATGGAAACTGTGCGGGGTATACCGACACGGTTGAAGCAATAGCTATATTAGTGCGACATATTTATGAGTTACGGTAACCCTTGAGTTCGATCATGGAGAGTACGGGGCCGCTGAGTGATGTCACTAAGTGTTGTACCCCAAAATTTTCCCTCCCATATTCTTCAAGGTTTGTCAAGAATCATCCCCAAATGGTTCAAGATTTCTCAAGGGTTGCACAGTCCAAATGCCTCCTAAGCCAGTCAAAATTAGGGTTTTGTTTCTTTCAAGGAATTTGGGGTTTTCAATGGTCCAATCAAGTCCCATAGGCCTATGCATATTCTCAAACATCTACATGTCAAGTCTCAAGACTCAGAATGGCAATTTGCACAGTCAAAAGCCCTATTTGATCCACAGTCAACTACAGAGGAAAATGGTCATTTTGCAGTCAAAAGTCAGAATTTTTGGTCAACATCTTATTTTGAGTCCACAATCATCATTTGATCAAGTCTTGATCATGATTCCACAAGAATGGCTCAAAAATCATCAAGATGCAAAAAGTTACTATTTTTGGACAGTAGAAAAGTCAACTATATCTTGACCAAGGCATAACTTTTTCATGGTTCATCAGAAAAATCCCATCCAATGCTCATTTTGAAGGGGATGACATTTCCTACAATTAATCTTCACATTCCAAGTCCAAGAAATGCTCTCACAAAAAGTTATCAATTTCTACATTATAGGTCAATTGCAAAAGTCAACAAAAATGCACTTTAAGTCAAAGACCATAACTTGAGATTGGTAAATCCAAATGACATGGGACCAAAGGCATTGGTTAGAGGACTTCAAGACCTTTCCAAAATGTCCAAGAACATGTTCATATAATCAAAATTGAGCAAGATGTGCATTGGAGAAGTTGGGAAATTTTTGTGAATTTGCAAAAGTCAACTTTGCTAAAAACACTTTGTTTTTGCTAATGGGCCTCAAATTTCTTCTTGAATCTTTATCCAAGACCTATGCACGACCCATCAAGCTTAAATTGATTTATTTTATTATTTTTATTAATTAATTGGATTTTTAATTGATTTTAATTCATTTAATTAATTTAAAATGTAGGAAAATATCAAGATATGGTTTTTCAATCTTTTCATGAAGCAAATATGACCTACTGGCAAATTCGTGTGCACATCAAGGGGACAAGAATCTCCAAGTTTGGCAAGATTTTTCAATCAAAAAGATGCAAAAAGATATGATTGAAAATCAAATATTGAAACCATCATTCCATGGATTTCTTGGCCAAGATTTAACCTAAATCCATTCTACTATAAGTACACAACCTAACCCTAATGCATTGGACGAGAATTTGCTGCAGAAAAAGCCATAATCACATTGAGAAAATTCAAAGAAAACTCAAAACTGTATTCAATCTTCCAGGCCAATTCAAGGCATTTTCTTGATTCTAATACACTGCAGGAGGTTCCCAGGACGTGTTACACTCAAATTCCAATACTAAAACTCCAGGAATCGCCCATTACAGTGTCACGGTTTGAAGCTTTTTTCCATAATCGTATATATTGATTCATGCATATTTAACATATTCTTGTGGTTGGTTTGTGTTCATAGGAATCATACGAAGCTAATGGTGTGGTTTAATTGCATTGAAATGCCCTAAATCCAAAGATGCCATTGACAAAAGCTAGGGTTCTTGAGCTTCCAAATTGGGGCTTTTCAGTATAGGAAAAATCAAGCCTTGAGAGACCCGTGACTGAACTCGTGAGAACCATACGAATTCAAAGGACATATCGCGAAATATTTATGCAACCCATACGCCTAATTGCTATTATTCGTCGTTCCATATTGTGGGGGTTAAAAACCCCCGCTATCTGTCTTGTTTTTTGCAGGAACGCACGAGGAAGATGATGAGTTGTTAGTACGTGGTTGGACAATTTGAATAAGTGCGCGCGTTTTCGTTTTTACAGCCTATGAATTAATTACTTAATATATTTATTGTTTGTCATTATACTAACAAATGCAGGCGCATGGCTCAGTGGATAGTGAGGTGGATGGTAATCATTGGGACCTGGGTTCGATTCCCAGGTCCACTCAAAACTCTATGATATTTTTTCTAACATGTTCACGTGCAGGCATCCTAAAAGCATTCTACCATGCTCCTCACTCATCCAAACGCCAAGTGTCTTCAAGCATTAATCCAATGGCCAGGA